ATAGGTGCCGAGCCTAATATTTTATTTATTAAATGGAGTAAAACTGAAAGCTTTTCCTCTTAGAACTGGAACCAGACAAGGTTGTTTTCTGACACCATTACTATTCAACATAGTGCTGGAAGTTCTAGCCAATACAATCAGGCAAGAGAAGGAAATAAAGGGCATCCAAATGGGAGCAGAGCAGGTCAAACTCTGCCTCTTTCCTGACGATATGATCTTATACTTAGAGAAACCCAAAGACTCAACCACAAGACTCTTGGAAGTCATTAAAAAATACAGTAATGTCTCAGGGTATAAAATGAATGTTCACAAGTCAGTTGCCTTTGCATATGCCAATAACAGCCAGGATGAGATGGTAATTAAGGATACAACTCCCTGCACCATAGCTTCAAAGAAAATGAAATACCTAGGAATATACTTAACAAAAGAGGTGAAGGACCTCTATAAAGAAAATTATGAAATCCTAAGAAAGGAAATAGCAGACGATATTCACAAATGGAAGAACATACTGTGCTCATGGGTGGGAAGAATCAACATTGTTAAAATGTCTATACTTCCCAAAGTAATCTACCTATTCAATGCCATCCCTATTAAAATACCAACACCATACTTTCAAGATTTGGAAAAAATGATTCTGTGTTTTGTATGGAACCAGAAAAAACCCTGTATAACTAAGGCAGTTCTTAGTAGGAAAACAAAGCTGGGCAGCCTGTGGCTCAAGGAGTAAGGCGCTGGCCCCATATGCCGGAGGTCGTGGGTTTAAACCCAGCCCCAGCCAAAAACTGCAAAATAAAACAAAGCTGGGGGCTTCATCATACCAGATTTTAGGCTGTACTACAAGCCACAGTGATCAAGACAGCATGGTATTGGCACAACAATAGAGACGTAGACATATGGAATCAAACAGAAAACCAGGAAATGAAACTAACATCTTACATCCACCTAATCTTCGATAAACCAATCAAGAACATACCTTGGGGGAAAGACTCCCTATTCAATAAATGGTGCTGGGAGAACTGGATATCCACATGTAAAAGACTAAAACTGGACCCACACCTTTCTCCACTCACAAAAATTGATTCAAGATGGATAAATGACTTAAATTTAAGGCATGAAACAATAAAAATCCTCAAAGAAAGTATAGGAAAAACACTGGATATTGGCCTAGGGGAAGACTTCATGAAGAAGACTGCCATGGCAATCACAACAACAACAAAAATAAACAAATGGGACTTAAACTGAAAAGCTTCTGTATAGCTAAGGAGACAAAAACCAAAGCACATAGACAATCAACACAATGGGAAAGGATATTTGCATATTTTGAATCAGACAAAAGCTTGATAACTAGGATCTAGAGAACTCAAATTAATCCCCATGAAAAAAGCCAATAATCCCATATATCAATGGGCAAGAAACATGAATATAACTTTCTCTAAAGACGACAGACAACTAAGGCGCCAGCCACGTACACCTCAGGTGGCGGGTTCGAATCCCCAGCCCGGACCCGCCAAACAACAATGACGGCTGCAACCAAAAAATGGCCGGGCGCCTGTGGTCCCAGCTACCTGG